GTCCGTCGCCGCTCGGGGCTTCCTGGGCCCGCCCTCGGGGTCCTCGCCGACGGGCGCGGTGGCCTTGAAGTACTTTGCTTAATCCCGAGGCTGTGGGGGCAGGGATGGAAAATTACCTGGAGAAAATGGTGGCGACCGTTGTTTTTTTTAAGCGCGTAGATCATTCCAGATGCTCGGGTCTGGCCACGCTCCAGAGCGAGAGCAACCAATTCCTGACATTGATTTCAAATCCATCTCATCTCTGTCTGGAGTGTTCGGGGCCTGACTCCCTCGAGGTGGACAAAAGCTGCAGGCCTGCCCCGGAAGCCCACCCTCGCCTCCGTGCAGTCTCGCACGTGAGCTCGCCGCCGAGCAAGGGGAGCGCCCGGGGCGCGAGAAGGAACTTGGCGAAGTTTGCGCCGCCCTGGAGTTTACCTGGCGGTGTCGGCCGGCCTCCGACCTCACCCCAGCCCACCTGGAACCTGCGGAGACGGGGCCCTCCCACGTGCGCGGGGTCCTGCCGAACACACAGGCCCACCCCCTCCTCTGTGGGCTTTAATTGCCTGCTTTGCACATTTTCCGAATCAGCCAGACTTCCAGGCTTCGGCTCTGATGCGGTGACAAAGGCATCGACCTCTGTGCCCAGGAAGGAACCCACCGGCCTTCCCTCTTCAAGACGGAGGTGAAGGCCGCCACACCCCCGCGCCCCAGGTCGGTCTGCACCCCTGTGCTCGGGTTAGGCCCGCTCTGGGAGAGCACGCGTGGGGAAATTCTATTTCAGGAACAGACTAATGTAACCCCACTGCACCGTGCCCAGTGGTTGTCCAACAGAAATACCACGCGAGCCACAGAGGTCGTTAAAAAATTAAGAATTATTTATTACCATTATTTCTCAATTTTGACCAGAAAGAGAGAAAAAAAAAGAGAGCAAGCCACCACGTCCAGGACTCTAACCACTATAGGCCATGTGGGAGTCCAACGCCCTTGACCACCATGCCACCTGCCGGCCCGGTAATTAAAAATTCTGTAGTAGCCACATTTTAGAAAGGAAAAAGAAACTGGTGAAATCGTTTTAATTTTATTTTATTTAACACAATAGATCTAGGACAGTATGGCGTGAATAAAATTATTTTTTAATTATTTTAACTTTATCCATTTTACTTATTTTAATTTGACCAGAGAGGGACAGAGAGAGAAGAGTGGGGGGAGAGTGAGAAAGAAGCCGCCAGGTCCGGGACTCCAACCGTGGTCGGCCATGTGGGAGTCCAGCGCCCTTAACCACCATGCCACCTGCCTGCCCCCAGTGAATAAAACTAATAAAATACTTTATATTCTTTTTACCTACCAAGTCTTCAAAATGCAGCATGTATTTTATACTTGCAGCGTAATTTTTTTTTGTAACTTGCCAGAGGGTGCGTGCACACACCAGGCAGGGAAAACGTACCCCGTAATGGGGCGTGGTCATGCCCCAATCCCTTCACTTCTGCACCCTGTCAGGATGTGGGGCAAGCGTGCTCACGGTGGGCATGTTTTTCAAGCCACCGGGACCAGGATTCAAACTATGTGGCTGGCCATGTGGGATCTATTCCCTTAACCACCAGGAAGCCCAGCACATTTAGATTTGGACCAGCCACATTTCGAGCGCTCAGCCTTAAGAGCCAGTAATTACTGTACTGTACAAACACTGGATTTTTTGACAGTGTCCTTTGAAGCAAAGAAGTTACTTTTGGTTCTTTTGTTATCACGTCTAGTCCGAGGCCAGGAAGCCACTCGGCTAGGTTTACCTTCAAGTTTGACGGTGTGTGTCCATGTCGGTGCGTGGTTTGTATGGTGTGCGTGGGTCCAAGCTCATCCTCTGCCGCATCAGCTGCCCCACTTGTCGAAAAGGCTGTTGCTTCCCCCACTGCATTTACACCCTCGTCTAGTACCGGCTGATGACGAATGGGAGGGTTAGGGCTCTTATCCTGCTCGGTGGGCCCATGCGCTCATCCCTACGCCGGTACCAGACTGCTTTGGATTCTGCAGTTTCGTAGTAAGTTTTGAAATCAAAGTGTGACTCTCCCAACCTCCTTTTGCAAAATCGTTTGGCTATTCTGTGTTCCCTGTGTTTATTTCCATATGACTTTTAGCACTAGCTTGTCCATTTGGGGGGAAAAAATAAAGAGGTGTGAGTTTCAAACAGCCAGGTCTGGAACGCAAACCATGGTCAGCCATGTATAAGTCCAACACCTCAATCTCACAGAATTTTGATAGGGTTTGATTAAATATGTTATTAGAGAATGTTGCTATCTTAATTGCAATTTTTTTAAAGAATTGTTTTTATTAGTTGAACTTTATTCATTCATTTTAGTTTGACTAGAGAGGAACAGAGTAAGTGAGAGAAAGTGAGAAAGCAAGCTGACAGGTCTGGGACTCGAACCTCAGTTGGCCAAGGGGGAGTCCAGCACACTTAACCACCATGCCATTTGCTAGCCCCCTTAATCACAATTTTTTTAAGAATTTTTTTTTAACTTTATTTGACCAGAGAGAGAGTGAGAAAGCAAGCCACCAGGTCCAGGACTTGAATTGCAGTCACCCACATGGGAGTCCAGCGCCCCTAACCACCACACCACCTGTCAGTTCCACTTAATTGCAACGTTAAGTCTTCCAATCCAGGAACACAGGATGTCTTTCTACTCACAGTTTTTAGGTCTTATTTCTTTAACAGTGTAGCAGTTTTCAGTGTACAAGTCCTATACTTCTTCGGTTAGACATACTCCTAAATATTTCTTTTCAAAAAAAAATTATTGTTAATATTATTTTAATTTGCTTTAAGGCATGCATGCTCATTAGAGACAAAGGGAGAGGGAAAGTGAGAAAGCAAGTTGTCAGGTCTGGGACTTGAACTGGAGTTGGCCGTGTGGGAGTCTAGCACTTAAACACGCCACCTGCTGGTCCCTATTTTTCTTTAATGTTATAATAAATGGATTTTTTTTTTTAATTGCCAGGCTTGTTTGCTTTCCAGAGACAGTGAGGAAAAAGCAGCCCCCAGTGGGGACACGGTGATGCTGCAAACCCTGCTCTCCATTTCTCTGCCCTGCAGGAACTCTGGGTACACCTGCTGGCGTTTCTGCTCACCGGAGCTGGTTTTCATAACCTAGTCGTTCATGTAGGATCCAGCTGCCTTAACCACGAGGCCACAGGACCAGCCCAAGATCAATTAATTTGGGGCTTGTTTTGTACCTGCAACTTTCCTGAACCAGTGCTGATTATCTTGTGTGTATGTGTACACCCTGTAGGATTTCCATACACAAATCATGTCACCTGCAAACAGAGATAGTTTACTTTTTTCCTTTCCAAACAGGGCATCTTTTCTTTCTTGCCTATTTGCCCTGACTAGAACTTCCAGTAAATGCTAAATAGACATGAGGGCCAACAGGTGGCATGGTGGTTGTCACTGGACCCCACACGGCCAACTCTGTGGTTTGAGCCCTGGACCTGGCCATTTGAAAGTCATGCTGGGGTGGTTAAGGTGGGGCAAAGGAAGCGGGCAGCAGGTAACATGGCGGTTAAGGTACTGGACTTCCACATGGCTGACCGTGGTTTGAGTTCCGGACTTGGCAGTTTGAAACTCACACTGAGCATGTGTGCATGCATGCCCAAAATCCTGAGAGGAGAATGGAGAAGGGACTGCAGTGAGGTCATACCTCCAGGGAATGATTTCTTGCCATCTCTGTTTCTCTGGTGAGTGCTGCGTGCATCCCATAGCAAAAAAATCTTAAAAAGAAAAAGAATCGTATCAGGTGTGTCTGCATGCATGCCCCAAATCCCAGGAGAACGGAGGACTGTGGCGTGGCCCTCCTGCCTTGGGGTACTTTCTCTCTCTCTTCGTTCTCGCTTCAGCAAGCCAAGTGTACATGCCCTAGAGCAAACTAAAACAATTTTATTTTGGAGAGGTTTTCGCTATAGGGCGCGTGCACTCGCCAGACAGACAGAGACATAGAGACAGAAAGCGAGAAATCACCCCCCCAGGGGGGATGGTCATGCCGCAATTCTCCTCTCAGGATCTTGGGCACGCACGCACACGCACCTGGCGTGAGTTCTAAGCCACCGGATCCGGGATGCGAACCACGGTCGACTGTGGGAATCCAGCAACATAGCCATTACGCTAACTGCTGGTTCCCCAAACTGAAACAATTTTTTAAATTTATTTATTTAATTTTACTTATTCATTCATTTTTAATTTGACTAAAGAGATAGAGACAGAGAGAGACAGAAGGTGAGAGAGCAAGCCACCAACCAGGTCCAGGACTCGAACAGTGGTCAGCCATGTGGGAGCACCCAGCGCCTTAACCACCATGCCACCTGCTGGTCCCTAAAATAACAATGTTTAAAGTCTGGACACCTAAGAAACTAGGGAAGCATACCAGACGACCCATGTTTGACAGCCTGATAAGCTGCCAGGGAAGCAAAGTTGCCAACTCCAATGAGTTAACATCCTTGAGCCCTAAGGCCAGACATTATAATGGGTGGCATCTCGTCTCCAATTGATTTTCCACTTTTGCTGTGAAGTTGCTCCCGTTTTCAGACCAGGAACTGGCGAACTTTGTATGTAAAAGATCAGGTGGCAACTATCACAGGCAGTAGGCCACAGCCCACAAGCCACAGCTCCGCCAGCATAGCTTGAAGCCGCCAGAGACAACTGTTGAAAGGGTCAGGCCTAGCGGCTCTGCAGTAGTGCAAGCGCCTGCAAGGCTGGCCCCGACCGAGGCAGCAGCTCTGGGTTCATGTCCTGAGGATGCTGAGCACGCGCGGGCGATCCTGGCCTGGCTGAGGCTGGGGGTGGAGCAGAACACTCTGCTGGAGATGCTCTCTCTTGTTCATGAAGAAGCACAAGAGGGCCAGCCAGTGGTGGTGTGAAGGGGGCTGGATCCCACATGGCCGACTGCGCAGTTTAAGTCCGAGACCCAGCAGCTTGACAAACATGCCAGGTGCGTGTGTGGGCATATCCAAAATCCAGAAAACAGGGAGATACGTGGAAAGGATTTGGCATGACCAAATCTCATGGGAGTGCTCTCTCTCTCTCTCTCTCCCTCTGTCAAGTGAGAGTGTACACAGCCTCTGGTAAATTTCTTTATAAAAGAACAAGCATGATTGTGTTCCAATAAAACTTTATGGGCACTAAAAATTCAATTTCATGTAATTTTCACATTGCAAGATAATTTTTCCCCCAACCATTTAAAAATGTTAAAACCAAGACCAGCAGATGGCGTAATGGTTATGTTGCTGGACTCACACGCAGTTAACTGCAGTTCGAGTCCCAGAACTGGTGGCTTAAACCTAATGCAAGGCGAATGTGCGTGCGTGCCCAAGATCCCGAGAGGAGAATGGAGAAGGGATTGTGGCGTGGCCGTC